ATGGTATTGACTAAATAAATAAGCGTGTCTTCCTCAATCTCCCACCAGATAAAGCCCTAGCATCCTAGAGGGTATCGACGCTTTTCCTAGAGCTGCTCAAACTTAAAATCAATCATCGGAAACTTCATCGAGGGATAAGGACGAGCATTCATCACTTATAGTGGGATTAAGAAAAGTTAAGATCTTCAAGGAGTACGTCTCGATTAAAAGATGCAAAAGAGCCTTCAGCGAGGATGATAATGAAATTAGCGAAAGCAGGAGTGAAGAAGGTGACTATTCCAATTCCAATTCCAATGTTGTTGACTCTGAATCAGGCGATGATTCCGATAAGAGTGAGCGTTGCTCACCGGAAAACGACCTGACCACTTCGAGTTCTGAACAGAGTATAACTCTGATTCCGAAACGCAACATCTTACCATGGAAGAAGAGGAAATTAAATTTCAAATCACCACCGAAGGGCGAACCGTTGTTAAAGAAAGATTACGGTGAAGAAGGTGGAGATGATATTGACTTTGACTGGCGGCAACTCAGCTCCGATGAGTCTCTAGTTAACTTACCTCAGGTAATTCTTCCGACTTCTGAGTTTGGGGACGACAGTTTTGCAATCGGGAATTGGGAGCAGAGGGAGATAATCTTCGGCTTCGATGTGTTGACAAATATTTTGGGACTTGCTTTCTGCATTCAGATTTGAGTTTTTATCATTTTATTATTTTGTATCTCATTCAATGTATTTTTTGGGACTTGCTTTCTGCTTTCTGCATTCAATGTATTGCTGGAAGGGTATTTTTCTCCATGGGGTATTGCATATATGTTATTGTCTCTTATATTATGTCACGGTTTGGTGTTGCTTTGTTCAATTATTTGAATTGCTAATTCTTCTTGGAAATTGTTAAATTGCTTAGGGTGCTATACAGTTTTAGGGCTCAAATTGTTAAATCACTTATTAAAGAATATGAACTTTTTATTTTTTGTTGTTTATGCATTTATTTCATAAAATTCATGAATATATGTTTGTTTTGTTCATATATGTTTCATAAAACTTGAATATGAACTGCAGTTTTACTAGGTGAAAGATCGACTGTGTCATAAATATCGAAGCAAGAACCAAGTTTACCCATCTCTAGTGGTGTTCTTTGGCAGGAAAACAGAATTGGGTATGTTTCTTTTGATTGGGTTTTACTAGTTAAATAGATAAAAAAAAAATCAATTCTCTTGATGATCTTATTGTATAGTTGTGAATTTTGATAGATATGGAGTACATTGTGATCTAAGGAAAAGAAAACATAAACGTGTGGTACAATTCTTGAGATTGACATGAAGAAGATAAAAGGAACCATGAATTCCAATTCTGTTGGAATGGAATCATAAATTCCAATTCTATTGGAATGGAATCAGGAATTCCAATTCTATTGGAATCTAAACTACAATTTGGTTTTGTTTTCACAGAATTTGATGCTTGAAGAACGGACTGCAAATTTGAAAGTGATTCTAAGCAACATTATTCTTTTAGAATGTAGTAGTGTCGTTGTTAGATTTTGATATTTTCTTTCTGGTTTTGAAAGTTTTTTTAGTTTTATTCTTTAACAATAAATGTAATTTTTAACAGTTGGTACCTGTATTCTATAAGAAATAATGTATTTTTTCTTTTTATCCTTCAAAGAATTGTTCAAGAATTTGTTATTCTATGAGAAGTTTTTAAAGACATGATCAATAAATAGGTTCAAGAATATTTTTATTATTTATGATTCAAGAATATTTTTATTTTTGAATATACTCAAAAACACATTCTGTCAGAATGTCCAAATTAAAAGAATTATAATTCGTAAAATCGGATTTTTAAAATTAATAGAATCTATGATCCCTTAAAATATGCAATTTTTCTTTATTAAATCTATATTAATCGACTAAAATACCCTTGTAATTAAATTAGATGATAATTTTCAATTATATTTAATTCAATAATATATTAATCACTTTCTTAAAATAAGTATAATTGATTGACCCACATTTATGCATACAATAACACAATAATTACTTTGAATAGAATAACCTAGGCCTATATATATATATATATATATATATATATATATATATATATATATATATATATATATATATATATATATATATATATATATATATATATATAGTGTTAATATTTTTTCATGATCTTCTCCCTAATCTTCAAAACAAGCTTTAGGGTCTGTCTCGAAAAACGAACAATATTTTGCATAAAAACTACGAATCTTCCATTTCTTTTTTTCCTTACTTGTCTTTTCTTTTTTGGCAAAATTTTCATTTTTTTAAATGCCAAACGGTCAGTGTAATTCAAATGGTATCGATCAAATGTCTTCGACATTTTCCTTATTCCTCTGAGTCGTTGCTGAAATTTGATGCATTTGAGGAAGACCTCCTCCCCTTTCTTTTTTGCTTTGTTCCTACCCATTGGATGGGCAATTTCTTCTAACTCATCGTCATCATTCAAATCTAACCCAACACGAGCATCAAAAGAAGTTGTGTATCTACTTCAACCTATTTTTGTTCTTTTTCTTGCTTCTCCTCCCGTCATAACAGTGGTTTTATATTCTTTCCACCTTGGACTAGAAGATAACATTTTTCAACGGTCATTATACTTGAACGTCTTTCTCGTTTCCTCGCGATACAAATGTAAAGCCTCTTGAAGAATTTTTCCATCGCCTTAAACATTTATCATTTGGGTTTTTAGGTTGTTGTATAACCCGCTCGTCTTAGAAACACATTTCGAGAGTTCTCAAAACTTTGAATTTAATTTGTGTTTAATACGATAGTCATCACCAAGACACCAACACCCAATTCATTGTGAAATCTTTCAATAATGTGTACCGCGAAATCCTTAATTGATTGTGCATTTCCTAGCTTTGAATCCTTTGAAATGGCAACCTAAGATTATGTACACAATAACTCTTCTTTCAGAGTGTTAGTTATGAGAAAAGCCCTCGTGATTAGGGCATTGTATTGCAATATATATATATAGGTTCAGGTGTTTAAAGTAAGTATTGTGTTATTGTATGCATAAATGTGGGCCAATCAAAATTTAAAATAAAAAAAATTAAATAAATAAATAAGGGTAAATAGGTAATTTGATAATTACTTTCCACAGATAATATCCTATAATTAAGATAACAATTGACTTAGTTTTCTCCACCCATCGTCTTTTAAAACCGTAACCCTAATCAACCCTTTTTTACAACGACCCCATGGACACTCTCTGTAATGCTCTTACTTGAAGTGCTAGAACAAGCGGCAAGGACAGAAACCTTAGCAACTGAATCGATGCACACGTCGTCTTCATTCTCACTAATGCTTTCTTTAATTGTTCTTCTCTGGCTGTGAGATGCGAAGGAAGGAGGTCTGATGGCTGCTAATCTTATCGATTCACAATCGGTGATAGCCTCCAGGGTTCGACTTAGGCGGAAGAAGAGGAAGGGGAAAGAAGCAGAGACGCTGCTCAACACTGGCGTTTCCTCCATGCTGCTTACCTCCGACCACAGGAGACGACCCTCATCCCCGATTCAGGTTCCTCGTCAATTACAATTGATTCGCTTGATTATGTGAATGATAATCCAGGTAACCGATAGGGTAAAATCTCTTGGTAAATTCTTGAGTAGGAACAACCCCCAATTTCTAGGATACAAGCCTTAGAATTATATGCTTAAGGTTACGTATATATGCATTGCTGTACCCAGGATTCCCGTTGGTTCAAACAAAAATCATTGACTTTTTTCGCATCCAAAGGTCCTCTAACTCAGCTGAAGAATATTGTCAAGGTAGATAAGATATCATTTATTCATGTAGTTTATGCTTTATTGCTTTATAGAAAAAGATTGGTAAGAGTAGTTTTGTTATATGATTGTAGATATAGGCAAGAAAAGGAGGCGAAAAAGTTGCATAGTGGCATCAAAGAAGAGAAGGAGGCTATTACCATATAGTCCAAGTGAGGATCCTGCAAGAAGACTAGAACAAATGGCATCACTAGCCACATCATTGACAGCTATAGAAGCTGAGTTCAATAATGAGCTCACATATGTTCATGGCATGGCTACTAGGTTAGCTAATCGTCCTGCTTATGAGAAAGAGGGGATGCAGGTTTTATCAAGAGAAGACACTAAGACCTTGAATCTGTGTAAGAGCATGATGAGGAAAGGGGAATGCCCTCCACTTATGGTTGTTTTTGATCATGTAGAAGGGTGAGTGGGTTTTTGTGTCTAAACCTTTGGTGTTCTTGATATTTATATATATATATATATATATATATATATATATATATATATATGTGTGTGTGTGTGTGTGTGTGTAGAAGCTGATAAATGTATCAAAGACTGGACAATAATCACTGAATATGTTGGAGATGTTGATTACTTACAGAGTCGGGAAAATGATGATGAAATCACGAATTCCAATTCTGTTGGAATGGAATGACGAATTCCAATTCTATTGGAATCACAGAAGTTGATGTTTAAAGAACGGACCACAAAATTGAAATGGACCACATTATTCTCTTAGAATGTACTAGTCGTTATTGGATTTTGATGTATTCTTTCCGGTTTTGATTGTTTTTAGTTTTATTGTTTAAAAATAAATGTAATTATTAACAATTTTTACCCGTATTCTATAAGAAATAACGTATTTTTTGTTTTTATTCTTCTAGTGATTGTTCAAGAATTTGTTATTCTACAATAAGTTTTTAAATTCATTATCAAGAAATAGGTTCAAAAATATTTTTATTATTTATGGTTTAAGAATATTTTAATTTTTTAATATACTCATAAACATATTCTGTCAGAATGTCCGAATTAAAATAATTATAATTCTTAAAATCGGATTTTTAAAATTAATAGAATCTATGATCCCTGAAAAAATGCAATTTTCCTTTATTAAGTTTATATTAATTGACTGAATTACCCTTATAATTAATTAAGATGATATTTTTCAATTATATTTAACTCAATAATATATATTAATCACTTTCTTAAAATATATAAATTTGATTGGCTCACATTTATGCATACAATAACACAATAGATACTCTAAACAAAATAACCTAAGCTTATATATATATATATATATATATATATATATATATATATATATATATATATATATATATATATATATATATATATATATATATATAGACACACACACACACTACAAAGATACATTAAGGCCCTTATGTTATACAAAGACTGTAAAATGAAGCTATAAACTAACACACCCCCTCAGTATGAGCATGGGGTTTACAAATGTTCAAACTATCTCTAAAGTCTAAAAATAGCTGAGTAGGAAGGCCTTTAGTAAATATATCTACAAATTGGTGAGCTGAAGGCACATGAAAAGGACGCACATGTCCAATAACAGCACGTTCCCTAACAAAGTGTAAGTCTATGCTTGGTACGTTGATGTTGTATAGGGTTAGAAGATAAGTATATGGCACTCACATAAAAAAATATATATGTTGAATAACATATGCTGTATTGAGACGAGTAAAAGTGAGATACTGCAATGCACCGAAAAGACTGAGATACATAGTAGGAGCAGCTAAAGGAGATCCATCAGAAGAGATTTTGGATTTGGTGTCGAAGGGAGTGGTGAACGAATTGCAATTAGACATGTCAGCTCAAGCAAGAATGTCTTTAGCGAAGGTAGTTTGGGATAAGAAGAGACCTTTATCTGTGTGAAATGCAATAATGCCAAGGAAGAAGGAGAGAGAACCAAGATTAGAGATAGGGAATTCAGAAGAGAGGCAAGAGATAACCCTATTAATCAAGGTAATGGAAGAAGCAGTGAGAATAATGTTCTCAAAATAGAGGAGAAGATAGATATGATTAGTGCCAGAGTGATAGGTAAAGAGAGAAAATCAAAACGACTGTTGGGAAAACCTAAAGAGGAGATAAATACATCAAAACGTTGATACCAGTCACAAGGGGCTTGCTTAAGACCATAGAGAGCTTTCTGAAGACGACATACATGATTTGCAAAGGTGGGGAGATTGTTTCATGTAGACCTCCTCAAAGAGATCACCATGAGGGAAAGCATTTTTGACATCTAACTAGTGAAAGGGCCGGTGTTTGGATGTTACAATGATGAGAATGGTGAGAATGGTAGCAAGCTTGACTAAAAAGTATCATCAAAGTCAAGACCAGGAAGTTGAGAGAATGCTTGAACAACAAGGCAACCTTTTTAACGATCAAGATTTCATTTGTTGTCAAATTTGTGACAGTACAACCATCTACAGCCAACAATGTAGCTTTAGGAGGTGGAGCAACAAGATCCCAAGTATGATTAGAATTAAGAGCATACATTTTAAAATGAATGGTAATTTTCCAATTTGGGTCACAGAGAGCCTGAGCATGTAACATACAAAAAAATCAGAGTAACATTTTCATTTTTCCAAAAAAAACCCCAAGTAAATAATTGTTATAAAATTTTCATTTTTCCAAAAAAATCACAAAATCCAATAACATAAAATTCGAAAGATGTGCACGATCACGCCTTCACTTTTCCCGGTCATTTGAAGTACCTGAAACCATAACAAACACCTATAAGCACAAAGCTTAGTGCGTTCCCCAAAGTACCAACACACACACAATATATATATATATATATATATATATATATATATATATATATATATATATATATATATATATATATATATATATAACAGCATATATTGGGTCCACATCTAAAATACTGGATTACCCCTGAGCCCACAATATAAGTTTGCCTTGTCTATCGGGCCCACAAATCATATATGGATCGTTCCTGAGACCACAACATAAGTCTTTCTTGCCCTCGGGGCCCACAACTTATGTCTGGATTGCTTCCGAGTTTTTTGGCTACTGCACAAAGTAGTACAACCTCAACCCAACCCTACTATGCATAACAAATAACATATAATCAGCAAACAAATAATCATATAATCAGTTAGACAAACATGCATGTCCATAGCAACATCCTATATCTCATAATATAGATCTAACATATCACTACTGCATAACAACACCTTATATACCAGAATACAAAATCTACTGGGTCAGCATTGGTGCTTTCGACCCACTAGTACAATGAAGAAAACTCACATGAATGAAGAAACCCAGAACCACTCCATCATGCACTCTGCTATACTACTTGCTCCCGCGGATCCACTAACACCATAACCATATAAAATCTTAATCACCAGTCAAAACCATCAAGTTTGACCTAAAGTCAAACTTGGTCAAAAAGTCAATTGTCAACGGAGTCACCAAAAGTCAAAGATCAAGGTTGGTTGAGTACGCCCTACATACTCAACTTACACCCAGCGTACCTGGGATGGTTTAGTATGCCCAATGTATGAAAATTACGCCTAGCGTACACAAGCGGGTTCCATCCTTTCCATTAAGCACTTAATCCCTTAAGGACTTTTCACCCAAACTCAGATCTAGCCTCAAAACATTGTCTTAAGTCATAAAGTTTCCACCTTTATGACTTTCCATGCCTAGGGAAGGTCCAAAAGCAAAAACCCTAACTTATTAATCCATTAAGACATCACAACTCTTGCATGGAAGGGAGACAAGGACCAAGATCATATTTTTGTGGTTCTTAATAGCTCCATAATGGATAAAGTTTCCAGCTTTATCCATTAGAATGGTCCCAACAAACAAGATCTGGTCTTAAGTCTCAAAGGGACCCAAAAGTGCATTTTTTTCAACTTAATCCATTAAGTCCAAGTCTCCAATCTTCAGATATGAATCAAAATGTTGTTTAGATGGATAAAGTTTCCAACTTTATCCATAACAAGCTCACAAGATTTCAAGATCTAAACTTTATGAACTTAAAGTGACCAAAAGCTCATAACACCAAAAATTACCTAGATCTAACAATTTCATCATATGGATTCAAACTTTATACCTATAGAAGAAAGATCAAGGTGAACAGTTCTAGATCTACAAGCTCCAAAGCAACAAATGCTTCCTCATTAAGTTCCTTCTTCTCCAAGGTGCACTAAGAACACCCCAAATCACTTAAAAACACCTTCTTTTTTCTTACAAGGCTCAATGTAGGGTTAGGGTTTCAAGAGAGCGTGTTGGAGAGGTAGAGGCTGAAAATGGAATGAGTTTGGGGGAGTTATGGAGTTTAAATAGGGCTTAAACCACGAAAATAGGACTGAGCATGTATGCCTAGCGTACTCATAGTATGCCTAACGTACTAGGGATGCCCTAGTATGCCTAGCGTACTCCCCATACGCCCAGCGTACGCGGATAATCCAAAAATCTCCCTAACTTCAAATGGTCGTAACTTCTTTATGTACACAGAAATGTGTTGAAGATCTCTACAATATTATTTAAATATCATGGACCAAAAACTTCTTGAATAAAAATCCATATTTCATGCAAGAACACTGCTTATGGCTTTTCCCTTTCTACCCTTCGACCCAAAACACAATTCAAGGGTAAAATCTCTTAACTAACATTACCTCCTTCCACAAGGACTAAACGTTGCCTTCTTAAGGCATAAAGCCTTATATAATAGAAATCCAGCCCACAGCCCAAAAATGGTCGGAGAAAGGATGTTACAATTCTTCCCCACTTAAATTAGATTTTGTCCTCGAAATCTGTATTGGTTATGATTTCTCAAACGACACCAACATATTCCATTAACTCCATTTAACCATTTTGCAATCAATACATCTTATAAATATAAATTGAAAGGTCACTCAGAAACCCCCAACTGCCAATAAGTAACCAAATAACTTGAAAATGCTCAAACATAACAATTTTCTTTCTCTCCCTAACTGCATGACCCAACTTCCAGAGAATACCACACAAATCGAGGACTCTCAGTACTATAACCACAAACAATCATCTTCATTATAGTTCCCAAAACTGGGAACCCATCCTTCTGTTCTCAGAAACCTTACCCTGAGACTGATGACCATCCGTTCATCGAACCTACCCTAGTCCCTGACTAGGGACACCACCAAAACATGTTGAAAAGATACTTAAAACATTTCGATCGTGAATTCCGCCCAAAAACTTTAAATATACTCTTGACTTCCTAACAAGTCATCACCAACCTACTGCCCCTAAAGGTATAAGAATGGTTAATCCAGGAATTCTCACATTGCATTGAAATCCCTCATCAGCTCAGGTGTACCTCCACCTGAAAAATCACTCGGAATTTTAGAACCAAGTCCTCATACTGGAAACGAAACTCCTAATGACAGACCACGAGAAGATGGGGTCCACCATAACAACCATTCATTGAGTGACTTCCTATGAACAAATAATATACCATTCTAAATAACCTTTCCTGGCCACATGATCCAACCTAGCTGGTCACCAAGTCTCCCGACTCTGAAGAAAAATGCACTGCATCTAACCATGTCAATAAGACTAACGATCTGAGACCTAAGAGTCTCAACCAAATGACTACTGGGTCTAAAGATACTCAACCATCAATCCACCATCT